TGAGGAAAACGGTGGGGAAGGGACGCTGCACACGCTGCGGGTCAAGCTGACGTTACCAGCTGATTGCAGTTACTGCAATGATAGGTAGTGATGGGAGGGGGAGGGGACGGACTCGCTTGTATAAGCGAGTCATGAGCATAGTGTTGTCAATATTTTATCATATAAAGGTTATGTGGGAGACTGGGCGGACTGTTGGAATTGCATCGCCGGGATTGTTTAGTCCCGTGTTTACAGTTACAGGTAAGCGCAGGGTAGGTCCTCTTATATCTGTGTGGTTTCTTATATTGGATCTTTATGTTGGCTGGACTCGATGTAGTACTAGTCAGTCATAGGGCTGACAGCTGCGGTGTGGATTCTTATTACTGTGTACTATAATCTATTACATTCAATGAAAATTACTATACTATGTAATACTGTATGGATATGATTGATGATTGATTTGATTGTACTACATACCAGATGTAGCAAACAATGCTGATTGTGATTGATATGGACATTCCAAACCCTGTCGGTCTACGCAGTTCCTCCCTCCCGTCCCCGGATCTAGCCAGTTGCTAGCAACCAGCCGGTCCGAGAATGCAAGACCGAGATAAAGAAACGGGAAGAAAATAAAGACGGAAGAGAGAAAAGAGATAGAATAGAAAGAGAAGAGAAATCAAAAAAAGAAACCAACCAACACCATGAGATCCTTCAAGTTATCTCAAGTTCATGTTTCATCATTCTGATCAAAGGCCTTGTAAAAAGAGAGAAGTAAACACCACGGTTCATCCAACACTCGATTGTGCTGAGTATCCACCTTCCAAACACAGTATGGAGGGCAGACGAAGAGAAAGAACATGGGGGCAAGATCACACTCAAGATCTTGCAGTCAAAACAAGGAACGAAACGGATTAACCATTGGTCATGGACCAGCAGGAGTGAACCGAAAAAAAAAAAAAGATAAAAAATAAAAAAAAAATAAAACCAAAGCTAATATCAGGTCATCCAAGGCTGTGGGTCGTCTCAAACCACATTATGTACGAGGTTTCATATTACATGACAGGGGTCTTGCGCTTCTCGGCGCTGGAAAGCACAAGCATCGGCGTCTTGCGTCTCTCCGGACCCTGGGCCACCGTCTTCTGTCCTGCGACGACAGCAGCCACCGACGGCGATCCGACGGGGGACGACACCTGGTCCATCCGGACATCGGCGAACTTGTTCCCGAAGAACCCGCCGTCTTCGCTGATCGGCGTCGTCGTGTTGTAGGGGCTGTCCTGGGACCGCCGCTCCCGAGAAGATCTCTCCTTCCTCTCGGAGCCGATGGCGCCGTTGGCCGCCGCGCGGAGACTGCCCAGACTGGGCTTGCTCGACAGGCTGCCACTCCGGGCGGTGCCGTCATCCCCGTCGGAGAAGGTAAACTCCTTCTCGCTGGCGGGCGTGTTGGAGCCGCCGCTGCTGTGGCATCCGAAGCTACGGGTGTCGCCACGGCGCTCGATGCCCGCGCGGACCAGGTTGTGCACGGCACGCCGGCGCTGACGCGTGGCAAAGTTCTTGCTGCCCTCATGCTTCGCGGTGGGCTTCGCGACCAGTTCTTCGAGCGAGGGGGGACCCCGCGGCTGGCGGGTCGGGTGCTCGCCCGCGCGACCCTGTCCCGGGCCAAAGGTGCCCGTGGCCGGGGTCGGGGGCAGCGCGGCGGTCTTGGGAGCCGGCGGATGACCGCCGCCGTTGGCGCGGGCCGTGTCGATCGGCGCCTTGGGCGCGGGGGACACCGACGAGCTCTTCTTGTGACCGCGACGGAACGCGTTGGCCGACGGCGGCGGCAGGGGCGCGACATCGTGCGGGGGGGAGGGACTCGAGCTCGGAGGCGACACGGGCTGAGACGGATACGCCGGGGAGTGGCGGGACTCGGGCGGCGGAGAGACCTCCGCGCGGAAGGTGGGGACCTGCATCGCGGGCGACTGGTCACCCGGGTAGGCGGGGGGGGAGGACGACGATCCGTCCTGGGCACTGTTGTCGTAGATGTAATTCTGCTGGCCCGTCAGGGGGTTGTAGACCGAGTAGAGGCCCGGCTGGCCGGGCACCGGCTGGACGATCGGCTGGACGCCCTGCTGGAGCTGCTGCTGGTAGAAACCCATGCCCGGGAGCGACATCGCGGGGAGCTCCGGCTGCTGCATCTGCACGCCCAGGTTCAAGCCCTGGAACTGCTGGGCCGCGGCGGTGACGCTGATCAATTGCTGCTGCAGACGCTGCTGCTGGGCGGCCAGGAACAGATTGGTGGACATGAGCTCGGCGTACATGCTCTCGTCCATGGGCGCCTCGGCGCCCATGTCGAAGGTCGGCGGGGCGAGCACCTGCTCGGGCAAGGTGTACATGGGCCGGCCGGTGTTCATGTCCATGCCCTGATTCATCGCCATCGAATGGCGAGGGAATCCGGTTCCCGTCGCCGTCTGAGGGATGCGTTCCGCGGTGCGGTTCGACAAGTTTCCATATCGATCACCCTCCACGCCGAGGTGTTGCTGCCGGGCGGCGGCCGAGGGCACGGTGGCGGACTTGGGGGCGGTCCTCAAGCCGGCCAGCAGGTGCGAGCGGCTGGTGCGGGGGGTCTGGAGGGGCGCAGACGGTTGGGACTCATCGATGGTGGGAATGTGCGGGGGCGGCACACTCAGGCGCTTGATGTGGGAGCCCTTTCTGCGGGATGCAAAGCCGTTGGAGGGGGCTCCGAGGGAGCCCCCGTTATTGAAAGACGAGGGATAGGTCATTTGAGCAAGACCGCCAGCGTCCATACTCAGAAGGTTCAAAGTTTTCGAGAAAAGTACAATCGAGAGATGAGATAGACGGAACGACAGATGTGTCGGTCGGGTGACGAGACAGGAGTCGACGTTCGATCGGGGGATTATAATATTATGCAAGATGCGAGGCGATTAGACAAGGAGCGGAATAGACAGGCGATGCCTTGAATTCTAGGAGAGCCAACAAGACTTTGATAGGAGTTAGCGGAGTGGTCGACGCGAGGTTGGGCAGGAGCACACGGTACCTTCCGAGAAGAATGAACGGAGGCGCGTCTCCACAAGCGAGAGCAGACCACAAACGATTAGAGAACAATGCAGTGTACAAGAAGGAAATCCAGCGAGCTGGTGATGGAGACTGAAACGGCTGCCTCGAAGGAAGGATTGACGACAGACGCGACCGGACGTCGACGATGGGATCGATGGAATGAGGCGCGGTGACTCCGTTAGGTGGAATTAAGGACCGAATAGGATGAGATCAAGGGTCAGGGGGAGATGCACTGCAGCTCCCGAGAGAAATGATGAATAGATGAGAAGATGAATAGATGCAATCCGATGCAATACAAGAGAAAAAAAGACAGAAAAATCGAATGGAAAACTCAAGCCGGTGACGATTAGACTTGGGAGGGTGGAAGACTGATGGGATCCAACAGCAACAGAGCCGCCTCGGGGGGATGATGGAAAGTAAGGGATAGATCGAGTGAGCCTTGAGCCTCCCTGTTTGATAGTCTTTTGTCTGGTGTTTCGATCTTGATGTCTTTGTTGTTTTTCCTTATTCTTTTTTCTTGATTTTCTTTTTTCCTTTTTTTTTTTTGCGAAATTAATTCCTTATTTTTGATTATGAACCGGAAGAAAGAAACGAGGACCCTTGTCAAGGGGGTTGCGAACCGAATGGGAGGCGAGAGGGAGAGAAAAAAGAAGAGAAAGTGAGAAGGGGAAGAAAAAGAAAGAGGCGGATTTGGCGATGGTTTGTCGGGCTTTCGTTTCGGATCCTCGGCGCCTGTATTTTTAGGTCTCTGTTTCTGGTTTTTTTTTTTACAGTTACCCGCGCTGTCCCAAAGATTGGCAGTCCGCTTTCCAGGGGTCACTGGTCGGATGTCTCTTCGAATTTGGAAACACGAAGATGACAGAAGTCGAAGAAAAGAGGGATCAAGAAACGGAGAAGAAGGATAATGCAGAATGGGAAGAGAAAGAAAGATGAGTGACAGGTAAGAAGTGAAAAGGGGGAAGAAGGGAAGTAGAGAAGAAGAGAAGAAGTTGGAGATGAAGCGGAGAGAAGAATGGAGGGGAAAGAACCAGAGGGGAGAGAGAGAGAGAGAGAGAGAGAGAGAGAGAAAGAGAGAGAGAAGAGAGTGGGTAAGAGAGATGAACGATGGATAAGGAGTACGGAGTCCTCCCTATAATAAAGTACCCTGATCAACTCCCACCCAAGGAACTCTACAATAACTCTGGATCTTGTCAGGATACCTAATATTACAACGATCATAACAATACAAACCATTATAATCAGTATTATAATATCATACCGATAATAAGAACCAGTCATATCAATGAACAGAGCATTGGATGAAGATTCACCACATACCCACCAATCAGACTGTCCAATCTTGATGAACGGATCAGTCAGCACACCGCGGAAACCAGGGACGTGCGCTGACTGGTTCGCTTCCACCTCCCACTAGGCTGGATTCAGGTTAGCGGATCTGGGTTCCGGGAGCCTGAGGTGGACTCGAGCTGGGCATTCGTCTTGACTTTCGACACTGGTGCTTTCCTAGTACCGAAGTAGATACCAGAGGGACCTGACAAGGTCTCTAGATTGATCTATAAATAACATAGTTCAGTCTTCAGCAGCAACAACAATCAAGAAGACTCTTCCAGATAATCCCAACCTAATAGGAAAATCCATATCCTCTCATGTAGATCAGGTTCCTCAGAATGAAACAACAACTCATATACTCCAAACGAGGAATACCAACGGACACCTGCGTGCTGCAAGTGCTCCAGTCTACCTAGTTGCAAGGGAATCCTCAGCTAACTTTAGCCCCTCCCCTCCTGATCACCCCGGTCTAGCGGCTGTCAACGTGGCTCTGTTCGCCGCCAGCCAACCGCTTCCGTCCCACCATTCGCCCACGAACCGCCCTACTCCTCGATCTCTTCTGGTGTCTGAATACGGAGGAATTACCAGGTACCGGCTGGTCTGGACCTTCAGAATCGGGCAAGCTTCACAAGAATTAGGATACTAAACTAAGAGGGTAGTGGCTATCGATGTATCATCCCTCCAGCATTATGTACACACGGTCCTGTCACTCCATGTAATGTAGGCTACAAATCGAATCAAATCAACATGTCACACGCTGCCTCCTGATCACAATGAAAAAGAGAAATAGATAAGAAAAAAAGTAAGAAATGAAATAAATAAAATAAAAATGAAATAAAAAATAAGAAAGAAACAAGATTATTCAACGCAAACAGATCAAGCAGAGAAAGATCCGGGTATCTGCTGGCAACAGCTAGTCTCAACAAGACCGCCAGAAGTCGAGGAACACGAGCGTCGATATCGTAAAAGGCGAGACATCCATATTATGAGGACAGAGATGGAAGAGAGAGAGAGAAAGGAGGAATAGAGAGGGTGAGAAAGGCAGGAAGAGAGTCTGAAGTGCTGGTGGGAGAAGAGGATTACGCATCAACGGACACCGTCGATCCCGGGAACGGAAACGTCGCCGAATCCTTCTGGTCGGGCTCCGGCGACTCGCCCCCGGGCCCTTTGCCAGTCATCCGGTCGAACTCCAGCGTCTCGGCCAGCTCCGCCGCCATGGGGTCCAGCTCCTCCTCTTTGAGACCCGTGGCCAGCGCCACCAGTTTGCGATGGACGTCGAACTTGGTGCTGACCCCCGCGTCGGCCGTCTGCTGCGCGAGTTCCTTGACGGCGGCCCGCCGCGCCTTTTGGGCGACGTACAGCTCCCGCGCTAGCTTGAAGGTGCGCATGAGGGGGTTCTGTTCGCTGTCGGTCGTGGGATCGTGGGTCGGGGGCGGTGCAGCCGCGACACGCTCGCGGAGACGAGCTTGCTGGATCTGCTCCAGCAGCGACTCGTAGCTGCCTCGTAATTCCTCGTACCGCGCCAGCTGCGTGTTGATGGACTCTTGCTCGGCCTCTTTGGCCCCCATGGCGGCGATCTGCTTCTGAATCTTCTGCCGATCGTGCTCTAATTGTTCGTGGAGAGCCTCTGGGTTGGCGATGTCGTCTGTGGCCTGCTGGTTCGCCTTGGAGTTGCCGTAGCTGACAGCGAGCTTGCGGTTCGCGTCGTCCATCAGTGCGCTGATCTTCGACAGGAGTGCCGAGGTGGCTGAGGATGTCTCCTGCGGGGGTGCAGCCGATTGGTGCTCGGAGTGTACAGGCACAGGGACTTCGCCATCGACGTGGTCATTCCCCATAGTGACGGACGAAGGAGGTGGGGGGATGTCCCGTTCGGAGTAATGGGATCTCTGGATGATATTGTTCGTGGTTTCGCCCTTCTTGTTCAATAGCTCGCCAGCCCGCGGGCAGTGCATCAGAAGTAAGTTCACCAGCCGAAACGCTCCATTTCGGGCGGCAACGAGGCAGGACGTATCTCCGTTGGAATCTTGGCACGATAAGAGCAGGTCGATTTCCTCTGCGGAGCACGTCTGGCGTAGCTTATCGAGGAGCGTCTCGCAATAGTACCGAGAGCTCTTCCACTTGCCCTTGCTGCGAGTCGTCTCCGCGATGTGGTGGAAGATCGTGGCACCAAACCAGTCCCGGAACGACACCGTGTCTAAGAGTAATTCCAAGATAGCCGGGAAAGTCCGCTTCTCGTAGTTGTTGGTGAAGAGAACTGCACGCACGAGGGGCGTCTCTTCGTGGATTGACTGGGCCTTGACATTTGCTCCCCGCCGCAGCAGATCCCGCACGATCTCCAGATCCCCCATGGCGCAAGCCCAGTGGAGGGCCGTATTGCCCGAATCATCGATCGGGCGATCCACCTGGAAATTCATCGGGGGTTCCGGTGGAGGCACCCGCGTCGCTTCCGGTGCATCCCCTACCGTCATAAAGAAGTCCAGGAGTTGGTCTCCGTAGAGGATGTGCTCCTGTTCGCTCATCGACATGGCCGAGACCTCGTTCAGTCCGCGCTTGCGTTTTCGCGAGAAAGGGCCGCTTTGTGGCATGGGCACCATTTCCTCATCTGCCATCATCGACGATGATTCCAGCGTAGTCTGCTCCGCGGATTCATCCTCGTCGAACCCGGCGTTCATCTCATACTGCTCATGCGTGAAGCTGGGGGGCCCCATGGGGCGTTGGGGTTTCACAGCGCTGAATACTTCTTCCCGGGGAACTTTGCGACTGGCCGCAATCTTGGGGGCTCTTGGTCGGGAGGCCGTCGTGTGTTTTGGAGCGGGCGGGGGGCTGCGATCTCCGGATACGTAGTCCATGATTGGCAGCAACTTCTCCAGTATGTTGTTGCGTTCCGCAAGCTGGCGGCCTTCCGGTAGTGGAATCCATGTCCCTAACCTTCCCATTAGTCACATACTAAAGCTGGACGGGCTATATGCTGTGCTGTATCGCTAACCTTGATATTTCCCATAGCCGCCCTGCACTTTCTCATGAACGCCTTTCTGTACCTCACGCTCGAGGATCCGGGTTCGGGCGGGCTTATCAAACCCGGCAAGCTTCAGTATATGCGTCGCATTGATCCAGTCATCGGCTTTTCTTCGCATAATACTGTCATTGGTCTCAAGCTTGAACTCATACACCGGAACCTGCAGATAGTCAGAGGGACGGCACCTAGGGATGGGGACGGGCGAGCCCTATCCCCCACGGGCCAGAAGTACTAACACTGCTATAGGTCGCAGAGTAGATCCGCGAAAAATCCACCGTCGACATGATGTGCGTCCCCGTCAGGCAACGGAATCCAGTAGGTTCCCGGACAGCACCTGAAGATCTGGGCACGCTCTGCCGGATTCGCCCGGGACTCCAAGAGCCAGGATTTGCCGTTCGTCAAGCGACAACTATGCTATGTTGCGCAAAGATCCGAAACATCACAGATCGGACAAAATAGGATCTAGAACTGTCAAGGGATCAGCCACTGGTGGCTCGTTATAGGCTGGGTGACATCTGAAAGAACGCGGTGGTTTGCACAACTGGGACGGGGCGTGACGCGCCTCTCTCGGGCGACGGTGGACCGCGTTAAGTGGAAATGGCCGCGCTATGCCGGTTGCGGCGTGCACGGTCAGGTGACAGCACGTGACCGTATCGGGACGGAAGGACCAGCAACACTTCGGGATAGCTGCAAACCCTCACTGCTCCGTTGCTCCCCTCCGTCCCCCCATCCAGCTCTATCTACCCCGCCGCCTCCCTCCAACATGACTGTCGCCGAGTCAGTGAAGAGTGCCTTTGGCCTGGCAGACTCCCGTAAGTCTCAATTGTCCATTGTGGGCCGCAGCCGAGAGCGACTCACCCTAGAGGTCGTCATATCCGGAATGAAGCGTTAACCGTTGCAATTAGCTGCCTCCCACCAGGAGATGTCGGACGCTCGTCTGCCGATTCAGTACCGGGACTCGTGTGCCAATCTGCTCATCCCGTTGAACCGATGCCGACAGGCAGAGTATTACTTGCCGTGGAAGTGCGAGGTATGAAGTGACACCGCCGTGGTCAACCCTGCCTTCTTTTTTTCTTCGCGGACCCGTTGGCGCACTTGACTAACTCAATTCTCTTTGTCGCTCTCTTTTACCAACAGGACGAGAGACACAGCTACGAAAAGTGCCAGTACGAAGAATTCAAGAAGCGTGTGGCCAAGATGGACGAGCTGCGGGCTGCCAAGGACGGTGCCCGGAGCAATTGATACCAGACCAATTGGCACGAGCGAAACAGCGGGTTATGTACATAGAGATTCGAGATTTGTCCGTCCATGGAACCGAACCGACTTTGGCGTTGGGACTCCTTTGAGATTTCTCTTCCTACCACGTACTGCGCCTTTCCGGACCTGTCTCCAATGCGGATGCGTCCGTTGTCGTTTACATGAACTAGGGGTTGGAGCTGTCCAAGGTTGCTATGACACTTGCTTCACCACTGCGGATGCCATGCCCTCTGGGTCAGCCTGCCCTCTGGGTACGCCTGCCGAGGTATGGGGAGCTACTAGCCCGGGTTGGACAGGTCCAAGCACTCGTATAACATTTATAATCATCGCAGCGTTCAGGCCCCTTTCCCTTCTTATACTTTTATTTTTCCTGTTCCATTTTTTCTCGCGCTTCAAATGTACGACGTCGATCTAGGATCGGCATTCAGCCATAAATGGCCAGCACGAGACCGTTGATCGCGTTGGACAACTGTCGTTTAGTCATACACATCATCAATAGAAATGTCTAGAGACTGCATGCTAGACTTGTCCCTCCCTCATACAGCACCTCATTGAACAGAACCTGAAGAATCCAGAACAAAAAAAGGGCAGGGTCCTTATGCGTTGGACGGTATACTCTCTGCACCACTGTCGACGCTGTGCAACTCCCGACGAAGATCATGTTGTACCTACTGAAAAATGCATCCCAATAACTTACTCTCCTCAACAGTGTAACCAGACCATCTACAAAAGTCCCAAGTAAGACAAAGCCTTCAATCACAGTAATGACTCAGTAGTAAGAATGGAATATCATCGATCGTAAGCGGAGTCCATGCTTAGAAATCAACGGCGGTGATTCCGCGGGAACAGCGTCTGTCTTCCTTAAGCCCCGCTGGACAGGGAAAAATTCCCCCCCGCCGCCCACCTCTAAATTAATTCATCTCCAATCAATGGTTGGAATCTCGGTTTCTCCCCCGATCGGTTTCCCTCTGCGTTATTTGGCTATAAATCTTGCTTTTCCCTTTTGCTTACATTTTGATCTTACCTTTGCTGGGAGTTTTCCGACGACATCACATTACTCTCGTCGTTTCTGAGAGTCCGGCGCATCGCGCAATCCTTTTTCCCCCTCATCGCGGCGGGGCATTCTTTTGCCAAGCGCACGGCACTCCATTGGACCACCGATTCAGACTTTCGAGACTTCGTTTTTGATCGGGATACTTGTTTGATGGCAGGATGGGATTACTGTACGTGTGGATTTACTCGGGTCGCAATATGTTTGCAATCGCAATAGCATAGCTAATCCTTTGTCGCTGCAGAGCTCTCGGAACAGCGCTCGATTGGCCCGACGCCAAATTGCGGGCGGATCAGGTCCGGAAATGGGGAATTGAGGTTGGTCCTACTATATCTTATGTGGACTCCGTTTGTAAGTCAGGCGAACATGGACTGACTGACAACGACAGCAATTACTCGCGATCTGGGGAAGAGCCAAGGGCAAGGAGAGGGATGTTCTACTGTGGGGGGACGAGGTATGGTTCTATACAGTCATTGGAATGCGACTGAGGGCTAAGGCTAACGGGCTGGGTTGGTTTTAGGTCGAGTATCTCGTCGTCGCCGTCGATGAAGAAGCCAAAAAGGCTCGACTCTCTTTGGCGCAGGCCGAGATCCTCAAGTCGTTGGCCAAGGATGAGGCACTCTGGAACTCTGGAACCTCTCCGGTGTCGCAGAACAAAGAGCAGTGAGTCGTTGCGAGGGTCCCGATCCAGATATCTTCTAACAGGACCCCAGCGACGGCGAGGCGCCCCCTCACTTCGTTCCGGAATTTGGACGGTTCATGCTGGAAGCGACGCCCGGGCGGCCGTGGGGCATTCATTTCAAGGATCTGTTGAAAGTCGAGTCGAATATGAAGTGGAGGTATGCTTTGGACTGTCCGACCTAGGAGTTTCGTCTGACAATGCTTAGACGCGAGATCGCAAAGACCCACATGGCACCGAACGAGTATCCCATCACCCTCACGACGTTCCCCCGGTTGGGCACGAAAGGCGACTACATCCAGCCCTACTATCCGCCGTCAGGCCCGGCACTACGATCGCAGTTTGTTCCAGACGAGATCGCCAACCCCCACATCCGGTTCCCGACCTTGGCGGGTAATATCCGATCGCGCCGAGGTCGGAAGGTCGAGTTGAATGTGCCTGTGTTCAAGGACAAGAATACCCCTCGGCCGTTCAAAGATCCCACCGTGAACTACGATCTCCATCAGTGGCCCGAGGATGACGATGTGAGGAACGGCGCCGCCAAAGACGATCATGTCTACATGGATGCCATGGCGTTTGGGATGGGCAGCTGCTGTCTTCAGATCACCTTCCAGGCTAAGAATATCACCGAGGGGAGGACACTGTACGATCAGCTGAGCCCTCTCGGGCCAATTCTTCTGGCGCTCACTGCGGCAACCCCGATCTACAAGGGATTCATGGTCGACACGGACGTTAGATGGAACCAGATCGGCAATGCCGTGGACGACCGGACGCGGGAGGAGCTTGGCGAGCTGGTCAGTTCTCTTTCTGTTTCGCCCAGATATCCGCATATTAACATTGTATAGCCCCTGAAGAACGATAGATGGAGGATCCCCAAGTCCCGATATGCGTCAAACTCGACATATATCGCGCAGGACTCACGGTTGCGGAAGGAGTACCTGGACCCCGATCTCGTCGTCGACGAAGACATCAAGAAGCGGTTAATAGAAGGCGGCATGGACGATCTCCTCGCAACACACTTCGCACACCTCTTCATCCGCGATCCCCTCGTGATCTTCTCAGAAGACCTAGAGGAGCTAGACCTCAACAAAGCAGACCACTTCGAAAACCTGCAGTCCACCAACTGGCAGCATATGCGGTTCAAGCCGCCGCCGCCAGGAACATCCGACATCGGCTGGCGGGTCGAGTTCCGATCAATGGAGATCCAAATGACGGACTTCGAAAACGCCGCCTTCAGCATCTTCATCGTGCTCGTCACGCGGGCCATCCTCAGCTTCGACCTCAACTTCTACATCCCCATCCAGCGCACAACAGAGAACATGGAGACGGCGCACGCCCGGAACGCCGTCCTAGACCGCAAGTTCTACTTCCGCAAGGACCCGTTCTCGCGGATCCCCCGCCGACAGCAGCGCCAGACGCCCAACGGGACCAGAGCGACGTCCGCCGCGTCGTCATCGGGGAGCAGCACGCCTCCCCCTCTGGGGCCCGTGGAGTCCGAGTACGGGCTGATGAGCATCTCGGACATCATCAACGGCGCCGAGGACGGGTCCTTCCCTGGCCTCATCCCGCTCGTCGAGTCCTACCTCAACAGCGTCAACGTGGACGTCGAAACGCGGTGCTTCCTCGCCCGTTACCTCGATCTGATCCGGAGGCGCGCGAACGGCACTCTCTGGACGGGGGCGAAGTGGATTCGGGAGTTTGTGGCGTCGCATCCGGCCTACAAGCACGATAGCATTGTGTCGGATGAGATCTGCTACGATCTTGTCAAGGCTGTCGACGAGATGTCTGTGAAAGAGGGGAAGAACGGGAGTGTGGGGTGGGAGCTCCTCCGGGGGAGGAAGTGAGCGTGAAGCATTTCTTTGCATACATAATAATACCTATAGATCGGGGGGGAACCATATCCGTCCAGTATCTAGCATGACCATTCATTCGCCGACGTTTCTACTACGAATACTACCACTACCATACCAGAAAAATCAATGACCATTCACTATCCACTTAACAACATCCTAACCCTAAACCTAAACCTACCTACACCACCATCCCCCCAAACAAACCGGCCCAAAAAACAAATACAGAAAACAAAGACTAAAGCAACTCCCTCTCCTCAACAGTCGGCCACCGACAAGAATCCGCCAACCCCGTAACCTTCCAAACGCCCTCAATCTTATGCAACACAAATAGCTCCACCCCGACATGATCCACAACCCCATTAACCTTAGCCCTGAAAGGCGCCCACACAGACGCAATATCGCCCAACTCATGCACCTTCACCTCGGGATCCCAAATCCGCTCGTCGATATGGTCCTTGATCTTCAGGACATGCTCGACGAAGGCCCCGATCGTGCAAAACCGGGGCGACGTGGGGGGCGGCGGCCGCAGCGACATGCCGCCGGCGCGCACGCAGTAGCGCTCGAAGTCAACAGCGGATTTGGAGGTCAGCGCTGAGAGGAAGCCTTTTGCTGCGGCGAGGATGGCGTCTGTTTCGGGGGAGGGGAGCGTGTAGGGGGGTGGAGCGGAGGGGGGACGCGTGGGGGTTGGGAGGGTCCAGCCCATGTCTTTTTTTTTGGTTCGTTTGGTAGGATGTAGTATGGCTTGGGATGGTTGTTGGTTTTTTGATATGGGGCTCAGTGATATAGGGTCTTTGATGGGCGCTGTTGAGTGCATCTTCTAGGGTTGGTTGATTTGGTCGAGACATACTTGGCTTGGGCTTGTACAATAGAAGACTACGTGATGTTTCGAACCGTCGCACAGTACTTTTGATACTTTCATTCTCCTATATTTACAATTCTACTTTATACTTCCCTGTTTTCTCTTCCCTTCCCCGTCTCATATCACAGCAGACACACCACCACCAAAGCATATCCCCCAGCACCAAAAGCCATATTGCTACCGTTACAACGACCAAGTCATCCTCACGCCAGAATGACCAAAGGTCTCACAATCCGTGATCTGAGTCCATGGGCGGACGAACAGATCCGTCCGGTCACACAATCGGAGGGCGAAGGGGCTTGACTCATGGGAAGTTTATCAGTCGATAGGTCGATCTAAAGAGATCCAGACACGGAAGTAGGATAAGGTTGGTATATAAATAATCTAAGTTCTGTGCTTCACGGTTTCCTACCATTTAGACTGTCCAATGATAGCCAGCTTTGGACGTGACAGACTATTCAACCTCTAGGTAAGGCAATATCAACAAGATCGATGCTCGTCACCGGCGATCCTTTGCGTCGAACCTGGTCCAGACATTGCAGGTATCCTGCACGACCTGACCTACCCCTACTACTGACAGACAAACCCAGAAGGAATAAATGGATCGATAGATAGATTCTACCCCCATGCATAATCAGGATGACTTGCATGGGTTCATGACGTCGTGAAACACAATCTCGTGAGAACTGAACTGAACCGACCACCCTCTTCAACCGGCCCCTATTCCGTGGTTGTGATTCTTCATCCCCCCTTCCCCCCGACAAGCAAAGAAGGGGGTATTCTTCTCTGCAGCTATCCACCACCCGACCCAAGACACTGTCCCCATCCGTCGGCTCACACGCCCGTCGTGTTACCGGGAAATCTTCGGGTCTGCTAAATTTGATGCTTCTGGTTATTAGTTGGTGTCTGGACAAGCATATACTTGCACTATTGTATCTCTCAAGGGAAAGACATCGGCTTTCTCTGCAGTAGCTCCTATCGCCGTTTGGGTGCAGCGGGATCTATCCCGCGTCCCTGCTCTGATAGCCGCTGTTTTGGATCTCTCCTGGATCCTGTGCGTACTATTCCCGCGAGACATCAAGCTCTAGGTCTCATGTCCGTACTGGAACCTACTCGGGTCAGGAACGCCCACTACCATCATGATCTCTCCCTTGGTATGCCACACCACAACACCCAGTGGGACCTACCGTGTGCAAACCCAAAGTCATAGAAGAGAAGTTGTACTGGGGGAAACGATGCAACGGATATTCAAGCAGCCCTGCGGTTATGGAGTTCCCTTCCTTACCCTGTAAAACGATCCCTCCATCTAACAAGCGTAGACCAAACAGACAATTTCGTCTGGTACCGCTTATCGGAAACATGTCTTACCTGAACGTGGCCAGGTATGCATCCATGAGCGAGGAAACAAGACTGTCATAGGCATTTGGATACGTTTTTACAAAGTTTTGACGCAGCTAACAAACACTAACTACAGCATAACACAATCATATTTGACGTAAAAAATCGGTAAAGCACATCCTTCAATCACTACCTTAAATCACGCACGCATCAAGATGGAAAACCAGCAGACAAGCCTGTTCTCAGCATGATGCTCCTCCTGCTGATTCCGCAGCCCTAACCAAGTCAGAAACAGCAACAGGGCAACACGAACCTCCACTCCACAGCCAGCGACTAGCACCTCAATAATTCTAGGAGAGCATCGCATCCTGCCGAGACAGCCTCGACAAAGCACCATTTAGGCGCCACCGGGACCATGTCAATCGATTATTATCTAGTGGCGTACAACGCAACAACAAACTCATCCGCGCGGCGATTAGTCGTCCAGAAGCGTGATGTCACCCATTGCATACACCTATACAATTTATGAGAAGCTAGCTATACACAGGCCTAGTGTCGAACACACTTATCATCTACTCCGGTGCAGTTCAAGTCGCTAAGCGTGAATCCAACGAGACGACGAACGGTCGTATGAGTACAACTTCACGTCCATAGTGGACGGAGATATCTTCCGCAGGTGGAGGAAGTACACAGCTGGCCCGGATCAATCAGCACGACGCAGAAAGTCTGCTCATACCATCAGGAATCTCCATCATCTCTTTATCTACTCGCCCTACGCAAGTAACCAAATAGTTACAGCCCACATACAACCCACCACCAACCAGTATCCTAACAAACAAGCAGAAACCAAATGGACACTTCCTTCACATGCAAGCCCCCTCTCTCCAGCACCACATGCACATCCTTTCCGCACCCCAAAGACCCAGCCGGGACTTACAGTGGTGGCGGCGTTAGACTCGGCAGCCACGCTCGCCACTCACTACCAGTTTTACGCTGCGGGGAGGGCACACTCTCCAAAGGTGGGCTCTACGTTTCACACATGGGGGGAATGGATTAGAGGAATTACTATTGAATCCATCTGTGGGGGCGATGGCACCGTTTAGTCGGCTGGTGGCTGGATGTGGGCGTCGTCTACGGAGTAGTATACACGGGTTGGATCCCACTTACTGGGGGGGTGGGGGGGGGACGAAGGGCCCATTGTGTTTGAGAGTGATGATGGGAGGGGGTGTATAGAAGCGGATACGGGTGAGGGACGAAGCGATTGGCTTTGGCGATGAAGACTTGAAAGACGAGGGCTTTTTCAGCGGTAGTTTCAGATTGTGCTGGGTGGGATAAGCGATCCAAGTGGTGAGACATGATGGGTCTGTATCCCTTCTTCTGTCTTCCTGCTGCTGCTGCATCTTCAGCTGCTTCAGCTGTTACTGCTCATCGCCTACTCCAACTCCGCTTCTACTCATACACTACACCTACTCCAACACCTACACATCACAACGAATGAAAGTACCAGACCCTCTGATCCAGCTCATCCTCATCCCAGCTAGCTAGCCAGCCAGCTAGGTAACCATCCATCCAACCAGCTAGCCAGTCAACACCCACAGATAGCAGTATAGTAATACACATCACCCACCATCTAATACCAACCAACTCCATAATCGTACTATTTTAAGCACCCACTCATTTCCTCAACCGAACATTGTCAAAAGATCCCAGATCCAGCCACGCGGTCTCTACCAAGTTTACCAACCCCTCAGCCCCAGTCCCCGTCCTCCTGGCCCGAAGATCATCATTTCACAGTGCCTGTCAACAGACACAGCCCAGACCCTGGAACCGCCGCTCGACTAGTATATCGACACACTAGGCTAGACTACGGGAGATAGATGCCGATACAGATCGCGCATAAGTGGTATAAATCATGGAGATTGGATTGGGGATCTGTTCTATCATTCATTTTACCGTGGATCCATCGTTTAGTATGGACCGGAGTAAACTAATGAGAATAATATCAGTAAGCAGATAGAAATAGTAAGATTAATCAAATGATATTAATAAAATAGAAAATCAAATAATGACCAATGGAATAGAAAAGAAAAGAAGTAAAACACAAGCGTTGCCATCAACGGCCACAACCCACAGGATCCGGAATTCCAAATACCCAAGACCCTGTCTGTCTGTCCCTAGTCCCTCCCATGCATATCTATCTACATCAGACTTACTCCATGTACTCCGCTCCGTACTTTCAACGTCAAAAACAGCAAACCCAGCTCCTTGCCATATCCGAAGTAGTAAAAATCATAATACACATAATATATATCCAAGAAAAAAGAAAGAAAACAATAGTTATACAGGGGGGAGGGGCAAAAAATTAAAAAAATTAAAAAAAAGAAAAGAAAAGAAAAGAAAAGAACAGAGAAAAATTAAAATAAAAAAAAAAAAATACTAAATCACGATCGAACCCCGGCGGCCGGGATTTGCAACGCCCCCTAAAACTGGAAAAGCGCGATCCCAGATCCCGAACTTAGATCCAAGCAAATGCCGATCGGGGGCCCGTCAGAAAATTAGTAGAATCCTGTAGTATGATAGTTGGTCTCCGTGGTCGAACGGGCGGTTCTTCATCCCGATGATTACTGACTGACTGGTAATACTCCCGTAGTATTCTGTACTTTGGACAACAACAACAACAACAATAACAACCCGTACAACAGATCTACGTCATACGTTCAGGCCATCCATCTCGTAATGGCCGGTTCAGCTGGGTCAGGTCGATCGTCGCCATTGTATTTCTCAAAATCGATAATAGTAATACACAACGAAGATCAGATGACAACAGGGGTCTTTTTTTTCGAAGCAGGGTCCCCGGAGACACCGGGTCAAAAGTAAAATCCCTTTTCCTTCCCACTCGGCCGGGCGGGGAGGGGGGCAGATGTCGGACGGACCCAGAGGATGGATGGATTCCCTGTCTGTTGGAGTGGGTGGAAAGACTTACTCGACAGGTGGAGTTGACAGTTTCGAGTGGCAGCTGTCAAACTCTCGTCAGGGTGTTTAAGCTGGTACCATGACAGGTGTCATTCAGCTTGGCTTTTGTCGTGCTAGAAAGAAGTACTGGGTGTGTAGGTGATAAGCATATTCTGCTTATAGCCTCCATACTCTGTCGCTAGATGGAGGATGTCACTTGGCGATGGGAGGCTTGGGATGAACATGTAGATAGACCTGCGGACTGTATCTGTATACCTCTGGTTTCTGTTCTCTGACTTGTATCTAGTAATCTACCCTGTAACCAGTATCTACTATGACAAAACTAATCAGCAATGAATCAGTCAAGATGTACCACGGACACACCAAAGATCCAAATCAAACCAGGATAACCGAAGACAAACAAATCGCAAGAACCCGAAAATCAAAACACGGAAAAGAACTCCCAAATTTGTAATTAAAATAAAATAAAAAATCAATCCAAGAACGGAATCGAAAAAGAAAGAAGAAAAAAAAGGAGCCCGACCCGAGATGACGAGTTTCTCGGTCCACCTCGCGTGGGCGACCATCTTGATTAATCTGGCTCGATCTCCACGAAAGAGAAAATGGGGATGTCCCACCGAGGGACACTCAGCGACATCGTTGATTGGGGGGCCGGCTGATTCGATCGCGTTGGTCTGCCGCGGGTGTATCCATCCTGTTGTACTAGCATCGCAGGGGGGGGGTTCAATCTCATCCCAATCTAATGCTGGAATGGAAAGGGAACTGGGTTAGAACGTAGCACGCGGCTGGTTCTTGAGGATCCTAATCTTGGACGATGGTCGAGTTAGAAGTAATTAATATTGATCTTAATTTAACAGTGTGGCTCAGTCCACGTGTTGAGATGGGACGAGCCGTGGTTCGGGAGCGGGTTAGTCATGTATGCTGTCATCTTGGTTTCGTTTGTTTTTACGCTCGAGTTATTATCATCCTTGCGTATTGAGTGGCACCATCTGTCGAGTGGTCTGATCTAGGCAATCGTACTAGGATACTCCGTATTTTTAAGTACCTGTAAACATCGAACACCACTGATACTGCAGCCAGCTCTATACCAAGCACAAAGAACCCGTAATCTCTCTCCCCAGAGCACCAGTCACGTCACACAAGCCGTAGGGACAAACGTCTCAGCCCTGCCACTCGCTACTCTTCCCATGACAGCAAGGACAAAGACAACAAAAGCAACATGAATCAAGAATCAGCCGAGCGACAATATAATCTGATACATCCAAACTCAAAAACACCGGTCCGCGGCGGGTCCAGGTCCCAACATCAGACCATACCATGACTAGACGAGGACCAACATGACAGCTCGATACCTAAGCGATCCTAAGACGAATATAGGAAGGGATGAGGGGAAAGACATCGGTACCTGACTGAGTTCCCCCCGCGTCTCTCCGATCGATCGAGATGGATACACTACGTGGGCTGACCTCCGTGCCTGGAATGGATAGATAGTGAAGGAAGTTGATAGATCGTGTCGCATTGGCTGTGTGTCCGTGTGCGGGATCGATAACCCAGACTGTCTAGGTCGTACTTCTGCTCGTACTTTAGCCCAGTGGCCGCATAAGCGCGGTCTTCCCCCCCTGCCAGACCTGCGGGGTCAGAACCCAAAATATAGAGATGCATGTGTACCGCTGTCGTCCGGCCTAGACTTCGGAATTCTACTTGCTAGAATTGCCTTTTTTTTTTCTATTTCCAGTTGACTAGTTACTCCGTATAGCAGAGGTGTGTACTCCGTAGATGAAGATACCTACCTACCTTGCATGTGAGATAACTCAACTAAGCCAAGTATGATAAGTACAGTAACAAAGATAATTATGTACGAGTTAGTCCCTGATCTGTACGAGGCAAGCCATCGGACCCTAGACTCCAGGTCTCCTTCCTATTTCACCTAAATTCCACTCCGGATCTGTTCTAGGTGGCTCATCATAATCGATATTCGCTAATCTGTCTCCTATAGACTGCCATTCTGGGAAAACCCGCGCAATATCATGATGGACTCAAGCGACTAGCAATGGCTAGCACTACTCGGCTACCATCTCCACTACATCTCCCGGGCATAGGGGCATAAATCTCGCATAGCTATTAGCCCCAGACAAACCTGTCAGCCGAGAGATCCATCGGCCGATTTGAAACAGTTGATCGCTCCAATTTTGATGTAAATCGGAACAATCATGATAAAATACTCATAATTTATCACGATTATGATTATAAATAGAAAGAAAAAAATAATAAAAATAATAAATAAATAAATAAATAAAAAGAAGAATACAGGTAAGTATTGTCATCCATTGCGGCAAGACCCTGACTCTCAAATGGACTCCTTAAGATAACCCCGACATAAGCGACCCTCACCGAAACATCTCGGGCTTCATTTTCGTCTCGTCCCATTTGTTCTCTACCGTCCCTTCCCCCCCTCTTTCTACTTTCTACTTCCCTTCATTTTCTTTTTTGGGACAATTACCCCCCTTCTACCCATCTAATCTAGAAAAAGATCGGAATAATGGGGGGGGCGGTTTAGGTGGTGACAATCCTGAACCCACACCCACCGCTGTAGCGTGTACCATAATCCGGCTCCGACCTGATAGGTATCCACTGACCTTAACGGCGATGATGATTGGCTTCCGGGAGAATAATCCAGTCACTAGGTAGGAAGTGCTCCGTAGGATAGGGTAGGAACTAGAAACAAAACAGGGTAGAGTAGAGTAGCTAATGAGGGCGAGGAGATGATCGAAGCAGATGAGACTGATAGGATTGATTATCGGGCTTTTAGCGCCCCCTAGCATCTCCCGCTAGGGAAGAAAACAGATAAAGACAGACCCCGAGTCCAAGTGATAGACGTCTTAATTCTGGAGAAGAATGGTGCTAACTTAGCATGAATAGGTCGGACGAGTCAATCTTTTACTTGGCTAAGTTATTGAATCCACAGGGGACGGGGCAACTCTGACTCGAGGGTATTGAAAAGGGCCCCGTTAACCGTCAGCCACAAGACCCCTAAAAGGATAGATAGGTAGATATTGGTGTGGGGGTGCCACAGGGCAAAAACTAAAAAGGAACAAAGGAAAACAATGGTAAAAACGCAAATAAAAATGAAAAGAGAAAGAAATAGAAAAGCACTATTCCAAAGAAACTAGTTACTCGCCCGCTCCGGTAATGATCATCGCGCTGATGCGTCGTGGTGCCGTCGTTTACACACCTTACCATGCGAGGGTGGATCGGGCCCATCGATGGCGGTGGGGAAAACGGTCAACGGCGCACTCCAGCCCTTCGGGCTCCATTAGATGTTAATCAGCAGGTAGGTTAGCGAGTTCGACACCGTAAGTCTTGTCGGTCCTCGAGTCAGCATATGATTCTCCTTAACGTACTCCGCAATGAAGACAGAGAAACCGGAGAGTCGATAGGGGCAATGTTCACTCACTTACTCTATGATTTTCATGCTTGATGGACTGACAAATCGAATCCGATCATCGTTCTCCGTGTCCTACCGATCTCGCAGGATCGCCGTCCGAGGAAGATCATATCCCGACTGGTGCTGCGCCATGATCCAAGCTGCTCCGGGAGGTAGGAAAGGAACCGGTGGATTGAACCAACTGTGTACATTACTGCATAGGTTGAGCTCGATGATGATAGACAGGGCCGACAATCGACATACTTGCGCGGCACTAAACTGGCAAGATCTACTTGCGGTGTACGACGATTGTACTCCACGCCTGTGTCTCTATTGGGGATCAGGCGTGGCGAGTTTAGATTAGTGTAGAGAACCGTGTAGAAGACTGCTCGGGGAAGATGGTGTGGAACTATTGCAGAAGCTCGCTACAGAAAGCTCATCATATACCGGATACGCTTTACGGCAGTGTAAAGAGGTTCTAGTGATTTCTCCGTTGGAACATATATAATCGACTATCTGATCTTAATGTGGAAGCTGGAGTCCCATTCAAATCAAAATTCACACAGGCGACTTTTTGCTTAGGAGCAAAAAGCCCCAGAGGAGAATCGATACAGATAATCTGGATGAATGGCCCGTAGGTTGGGATAGTCATCTTTATCAGAAGACAACAATTGTCCTCTATACAGTATCCCTATACAGAATGTGTTTTCGGGAACAAGTTACCTACCCAGTATTATACGGTAATTAACCATACAACAACCTAGGTTATTCCACAACCCAACCTGAACGACTAAGGAAACGAACTAGCCTAGTGCCATCATTATTCAGAGATCTAATCCCCCATCAATGGTATGATTAATTAGTATTTACCGGGCTGATCTAAAGCTAAGCCCACCTAGCATGAATCTCTTTTCTCAGCCTATTAACATTACCCTACCTTGAGTGCAACTCCCGTATCAGTCGTCTTGCAGCAGACTTGCGCTTTAGCTATCTCAGTCGTTTTTTGCGACAAAAAACTCAATCCGACCAGCTGTCAATTTACTTTTTTAGGACATGGCGTCGGAGAGTTTACCGGGATGGGTTCCACTTGAATGATGGTTGTTTGTTCCTTGTCCCAATGTCGCCCCTCTTTTTCTTTGACCATTCCTTCCGCCCCTTCTTTCGTGTGCTAGTCAATAGCTATAATGGCTATGATAAGGAAAAGGGAAGGGGAAAAGAGGTTTAAAAAAAGAAAGGATTATCCTTTACTCATTCTATGTACCATGAATGACAGGTTGCGCGGGAACGGCTCCCAGCATATCGTGTCCTCCCTTAAGTCAAAGCACTGCCCTGAGGCACTTACCAGCCCCTCTCCCTCTCCCCTCCAACTCATTCCTTGTATGAGAATGGTTTTGAAGAGGAATGATGCATATATATCCCTGCTCAATGACAACTGTAATCACCCAGCAAGGAGAAAATAATTCGCTTCCAATCCAGAGCACTCACTTCCTCTGGAATTCCCTCGCGAAATGAATTTCCCGTCCACAACCCCACAAAATGACCCATGGGAGAAGCCACACCTCCTCGAACGGGGGGATGATCACCAACTTACCTTACCGATCCATGATGCTTACGGAACCCAGCACTGGGGGTCTCTCGAAAATATCTCGTGGGAGTGGTCATCCACATTGGTATTACCTTAGGGACTGGGGGGTGGAAAAAAAACAAAAAACAAAAAACGCTAGTTGAGAAAATTACGATCGCGTTCAGACTCTTTCCACATCGGTATAGGCGATGTCGCTCCCTTCCACTATCGTCGAGGAATTTATCTGATCATCGTCCAGCGATCAGAAAATCAGAGAAACCCGGTGTGAGAAGCTCTCCCCCCCCCACTCTCTTCCTTTCCCTTTCCTTCTTTCTCCTCTCAAGGAAAACACCGGGGGGAGGGGTGGGTGAGGGAAATAAGATACAACAATCTAACAGGCGTGCGAGCGCAGCTAATATCTACTAGCAAGGGAATTGAGGTACTCCCGGCCATATTGGTATTAGTGAAGGACGACCACCAGATGAACTTCCCAAATGTCAACGGTCTCTGATTTCTGCCGCTGTCGATCCTTCCTCTTCCCTTGATCCACCATCGCCCAGCTCCATGATCCATCGTAACTCGCCTGCATATTGGCCGCCGATAAAGCTTTCTGACCTGGGGAAGGGTACTCTGGTGGAGACTGGAGACTAAGAGAACTCCCCTCGATATCTGCTGACTACAGTATTCCCCTATTGGCAACTGATCTATCTGGTATTTTCGTAATAATCTCCGCGATGGGGGGTTGGCAGGTTGGTAACCCTGTTTGGTTGGTCTCATTCCTACCAGCCATTGCACAGGTGGGTGTGTCCAACTCGACAAGGGGGAGGAGTTGAACAGAGGGGGAAGAATTTTCCTTCCTGTTTTTGATTTGATTGTTTTTTCCCCCCCTCGAATTTCCGAGTGATTTTTATTTTTATTTTTATTTTTATTTTTTTGATTATTTCCCCATCTTTCCCTCTTTTGACACCCTGTCTTTCCATGTTTCGGATCGTAGCAGCATAAACCAAAGAGTCAAGTGATCAAGAGTAGATACGGTTAGGAGGTTTCATCCGGCAGTTGCGCAAGATCTCAGGGCTATACGCCCGGTCTCATATCTCATCGTCCTGTAGCTAAGTACAGCAAATATTGAGTCCAGCTTGCGCCCTTTTAAGTAGTCGTGTCACACAGACATACTCCACCGGAACAATCGCATTGTGTTTATGACTCTGCCGGTATGCCGCTCAGCGTCAGCTGTAACTACGGTCGAGGTCGAGTCGGATAGTAACACTAGGATCGTGGATGGGATGGAGATTCCTGCTAGCTAGGCGGGACATGTCCTTGCTTGTTAAGAGCCGAGGGTGGTGACAGCGGCATATCTTCGGTTGTAGCCTGAAAGAAAAAATAATAATGACTAATGTTTTTGTCTTCCTAATGTTTGTGTTGCGGTTACCAATTGCGGCGTGCGAGGCAAGACATGACCATACTGTACAATCAATGCCCTTCTAATAGATCATCACCGAAAAGTTTGAAATCAGCTGATCGAACCCCCCCCCCAAAGCTAAGTGAGATCATCGTAAGACCGTCGGGACCCCTATAATCTCCGATCTTGCCATGCTGGGAGGGACAGAAACTCCAAGGGCCCCAGTCACACACAACCGGGCATGTGGACGTTCCCTCGCAACCAGTTGAATAAGTTAGCAAGGACGCTCAGCCCCAGAAAAGGAATAAAAATGACCGATAAATCAGTACGCTGACGCTCAGATCGGAGAGATAATGCACGAGGTACTGTAGAACGGAGGTAGATTGACTCCGGGCTGGTACAACAAATCCAGAGCCTAATCCCTAGTTTTCGCATGGATTGGCGTTTTAGCGTGGAGTGGCGGGAGGTTCAACAGGATCGGGTCGATTTCGGTACCTAGTCGTATGCGGCCTGCCACCTAGCTAGGTAGTTCCCTCCGTTTCGGACCATGTATCTTTCCCTGCTAGTATTAGGAACCTGGAAGGGGTGTTTGTTGGTCAATGCACCACGCCGTCCTTGGATACTCGACTCGAGCTACCTTGACCTCGAGCTCTTGCTGTCTTTTCTCCCCCTCCTTTGTCTCATAATTTTCCTTCATTTCTCATTATCTTGTCTTCCGTGTACCCTGTATCCTGTAACAGACCCCCCCCACCCAACCAAATCCATCAGGAATCGACACCATTCCAAGGAATCCAGCGGAGCCCGCTATGCAAAGCGGATCATCCATCAGTCGACCCTGAATATTATCTAAAATCGCCAAGGTTAGGTTCGAGTCCATCGTACAGTAATGCCCCGAGTCCGACAATCAAAAGAAGCGAAGTGCATGGAACTGATAATCCAAGCCACACCTTAGTAGTGGGGGGAGGTCTTGCGAGATAAACAAAGTGGGTGTTTGGTGGGTTTTGGGGACGGACGGTTGGTTTGTCAGGATAATACTAGAGTGGAGCGGGTATTATTCATCGTCTAGGTAAATCTGACGGAAAACGTTCCTTGGCTGTTACGAGTCTGATTGGATGAGTCGATTTTCGAACGACCGTTAGATCCATCACGGGCTGCTGCTGCTGCTGCTGCTGTTCCGTAACCATGTCTGTGCACCCGGTGACGGTACGACAGTGACCGTTGGTGTTATGGGCTTGGTTTTTCTTTCTTCTGTTTTATTATTATTTATTTTGATTTACTTTTTTAGTACCCCTGCTCTTCTTTCAAGATCCCCGTTTGGCAAAATCGAGGGAAAGAGAACTCCGGGACTGGATCAGGTTCCTTCTTGCTAATTCGTCTACCCATCGTCCTCGCTCCGTCCCCTTTCCCTCTCAGTCCCTCCTCAACGCAACAAACTCGCCAGACCCTTCTCCCTCGGTAGATAATTACCTAGGTAGAAACAGACCCGAACAGCCCACCGCAATCTACTAACCAAAAAACACCCCGACCCCAAAACAGAGATCAGACCCTATATCAAAACCACCCAAACAGCACAATCCTCAGTCCAGAACATCAAAACCCACCATGCTGTCATCGCACTCCAAAACGGCAAAGATCGCAACGCTGATCCCCCTAGGCCACAATAGCGCCATCTGCGAAAGCTAGTCCAATCTAGCCAGTGAGTTAGCTAGTTCCTCCCTCGGCCGACCCTACAGTAGTCGTAGTCGGTACTTGCTACTTAGTTGACTAGTGGGAAGTCTTCACACTCTTGGTCCACTCTGCTGGGCCATCATCTGAGGGAAAATTCCCCATCGGATGGAACCTAGGAAGGTCGGTTCCTTCTGTTATTTACCTTAGTTAATGTGAATGATCTGGCAGGTTTGTTGTGGTTTGGGTGGATTTAATTGGGGGGGATTATGTGTGCTGTGGGGTGGACTGTATTCGTATGGAATACGGTTCAACGTATATATACGATACCAATCTGTACGGAATCGTACATGGGTCCTCCGTAGTAAGATAAAAGGGTATAAGTGTACCCATTGAATTTACTACAGATTATCATCATATCATACATTCGCCAGAAAAACATAACAACAAAAATCAAAATAAAAAAGAAAGACAAAGAAAGACCCCACTAGAGGACAGTTATACAAAATATGAACACCCATCCACGGGGACGGATACCGCCCATTTCAATCGCAGGGCCTGCAGAGTACAGACCAGACCAGACCAGACCACGGGGCACGTCAAAACTCACTTCCCACCCCCAAGACGCCCGGGCGGATGAAGCGTGGCCCTGGCGGGAAGGATCATAGTGGCACGGCGCGCGGACGGTCTGCCAGATCGGTTGTATCTTTCTTTTTCTTGGTGCATTTTTTTGTACTGTCTTGGTTTGAATGTTGTCTATTTCTTGAAAGTGTTTCATATTTTGCAAGAACTACGGAGTCAGCATTATGAGATACCCTAAGCGAAGTAGATTGCAGTTATCGCCTGAGCTTTGACTATCCATGAAAATACTCCGTAATAAGTAACAAAACAATACATAACATCGCTTCTGCCACCTTGTACGGGGTAATACCTACCCAAAGAGCCGTCGAGAAGAATAAACTCGAAACCATCAAGATCAAGCCTGCAGACCGTCCGTCCTCTTCCAGCCTCAGTCTCTATGGGGACAGTCAAAGTGACGCGTCACATGTATAGATAGTTAGTCCTACGATGCCCATCAGCCCACTCGTAACGATCCCAGATTACGATCACCGATCCCATCCAGTCAAAAAGCAGTTATCTTCCTACTACCGTCTTGCTCTTTGTCCGTGACCGAATTGTGGCTGAAAGTGGCTCCGAAGACCAACGCAAAGCGGTAAGTAATATCCGCAGAGACAATGTCATTACTAGGCAGTTACCGAAAGGAATGATAGTTAATGCCTGATACAAGCCCAGTCGCGGGGATGCATGGCGATATTTACGCACGCAGCTGGAAAAGGTAAGTGAGAGGGCCGGGGGTCGTTCGGAGTCGACTGGGCGCTGTTGGTGACAGCGATGCTCGCACGATTAAGCCACGGGCTGGTGGGATGGTCTCGCGGACAGCGATATAATCAAACAGCAGGAAAGGGAGGGAAGAAATGGTGAGGATTTAGATGAGGGAGAGAGAGACGGTTACCGGGTACCAGTTACTACCAGGTACATAATGACGTCATTATAGCCACACAGCTTATGCGCAATACAATGATGTTGTCTAGGGTACTGAAGGGTCTGATCTCAGGCGTATAGCCTGGTATACAACTTTTCCCTCCGTATACCCAATCAGATGGTCCTGATCTCAGCTCGATCGACTTCCCCCAAACTCGCAACGTGCATGTCACAATGGAAGTAAGGGTGTATGACAGTGTGTACTAGCTACTGGCTAGCCGGTACACAAAGCCCAGCTGGTGAGTAATACGAAAATATTAGTAAAGATTGTTACGGTCTTCGAATACTCCGTAGACAGTAAAAATATGATAGATAGCGTCGATCTTGGGAAGAACCCGACTCATCGGGGATGGGATGAGATCGGCCGTCGTAGATGAGACAAATCATCCGATATGACGTGACATTATTCTGATGATGATGATGATGATGCCGGCAGTATCACCGCGCAGTGGTGTGATGCTGATTATCCTCGCAGGAGTGATACTATTGTGCACTACGCGCAACGGTCGGGCCCTAAAACCAATGGATCTCCATGTGCATGCGCCGTTCTGGCAGGGTAAGTGTTATCGATGGGAGTGCTCCGTCATACCCGCCTTCTGCCTATTGACATTCAATAATAATGCTCTGGGAAAGGTTTGGCGGGAAGATATAGATCAATAAACACTCCCTTCCACCCATACATTTCGATATCCTCATTGATTCCAAGGCTGAAAGTGAAGATACTGGGATAAATACATGGGAGGAAAAAGAAAGCATAATAAAAAGCCGAAATTAAAGACAAGAAAAGAAAAAAGGCAAGAGAAGGGATGGAAAAGGATAAAAAGAATAACAAGATCAAAAAGGATAAAACCGATCGCATAATTTGCTCACCCAAGCCACACCAAGTGACACCAGTGCACCACCCATGCCGAAGGATCGTAGATGATGACGATGGTGCCACAACCATGAACGGCTAGGCCCGAGATCTTGAGCATGGCAAAGCGGGGAGCGTCGTACGGTACCATGGAACAAAAAAACAAATTACTCAGGGACGGGATCGGGTTGTATACTAACGAAGACGGTGGTTTCCAAATGAGATTAACTTTCTTCTATTTTTATTCTTTTCCATATTTTGATTTCGCTTATCTTTCATTAATTTTAACTAAAAAGTAATCATCTTGAATGATAGAAGATAAAAATAATAAATGGATAATAAAATAAGGCGAAAAGAAATTAAGAAAAAGGAGGAGGATAAAGAATGTCTAGTAAATGGAAGAAAATAACAACAAGGAATTATTCGGATGAACCTCCTTTACCATCCGATGCGCTGAACTCTAGAAAGAGACGGGGGAGCCCTGAAAGTAGAAAGGATGGACCCCTCCAGGAGAGGATCTGATCATGACTGCAGCTTGCTTTTGGGGATGCCGGTAGCCTGGACTCGTATGAGCAAATCGGTGGTCGGATCTCTCCCAGATACGATGCTAATGGCATAGGTTTCCGGGCTAGCTGCAGCTGGGCGAATGTTTCTTGCTGATGTGCGATCCAAGTTTCCCCACTGCGATCGCTAATAGATCTGGACCAGCCAGCCAACCTAGCCAACGAAGGATGGCCCCCAAAAGGCAGACCCCTTGGTACATGGGGTGTTTCCAAACCCCGGGATCATAGCCTAAGTGGATGAGGTGCGCCGTCGGTCGGCTGACTACTGTCGTCCTTCCAGCAGAACGAAAATGCTTCGAGTCAACGGAGCAAATTAATAGTCTACTATCAACCATGCTTGCCAGATGGAACCCGTCGGGATCTCGGATTTAGATCCCGCGGTTGATTCTGCAGTCGAAGCGTCGATGTGTCTCCGAAAAAATGCGGTTCGTCATAGATCGCAAATCGAGGATATATACGAGAGAGAAAAGCCTAAATGGATCTAGCCTACCATAATTCTCCTTTGAATCATTTCTTCGTCATTTTTTTTTTTCAAGGCGCCGATTAATGCACATGATGTTTGCTTCCCCTCCTTGTTTACTACGGGTATTATCAGTCATCTTCGGCCGTGGGATCCATTCGACCCAATGCATCCTACGGAGAGGAGTCATTTAAACGAACTGGGGTTGTTAATGTTAAACATGCAAGAACTCGACTACTTTGTAGCCAGGCGCAGGAGGCTTGAAGATGACACAAACATCCCCACCCAGAGCTCAAGACCATGTGATAGCCGAGTCAATCCCCATTGTGTTATTGGACTGCTGTCGCAGAAGGTGGCCACCGAAACCTCAGATCTGGGTTTAATATAATTTAATATGTTCTTTGGAGATTCATGAACGCGCCATCGGGGTTCTTTGAGTTAGAAAGAAATTGTTGATTCCTGCGAGATGCGATTGATTACCACATACACATACAAACGATACAACCCGGTAATGGTCTGCAAACTGTTTTCATTTTTCTTTGAATTTCCCGAGGAAAACAAGGTAGTAGACGATGGAGAACTCCCGAGTAACCAGAATACTATCAGATTGCTGAGCTCTCCAGTCTTACCGAAGTCAGTTGGTCATCATTGCCAAATCTCCTGGATCGTTGCGGACAATCTCCTTTTTCTTTTCTTCGGTCGTCATTCTTAGCAAGTTACCAATTACGAAATACCATACTATTAACCCATTATCATTATATAATTACAACAACTATGGCTACCGTCTTTTTAATTAGAGTCGGCCGGCTGTTCCCCTAACCTGCATAGCGCGCGATCGATGGATCTCGATCAACACCTGCCTACTCTGGTTTATCGGCTTTCAATCTTACAATGACGGGGACCACTCATAATTTGTTTTGATTTTCTATTTCTATTTTGTTTTTCTGATTTCCCCCTTCATGCCATAGCTAGATTCAGTATTGCGTTGACTTCTCCAACTCTAGTACCGACTGCCGAGTAGGCCTCTCATGGATCCCGATTATATGATCCCTTATTTTATTTTAATTTTATTTCATATTTCTGTATTGTAATTCTCGGTAAAATCACTACTATAAGGTGCCTACTATGTAAAATCAACTGACAATGTCTTGAGCTACACAAATTACATTATGATGATAATGATAATGACAGTGAATGTATTGTGAGCGGGGTAAGGGAATTACAGAGATTCGATATTAAAAGAACTTTCTCGGAATTTTCCTAAGAAATCGGCCGGTCGGTAATCTTATTTACTATCTTCGATACCCATCAGTACCGATGATACCTCTATGTATGTAAATTACATACCAGATACCCGTGTTTTGACCATTCACATGTACAGTGCACCGTATATGGTACACGGGGAGGATTGACAACCCTAGTTAGTAGGTAGTGTCAAAGTACTAATCCCCTTTTTTTATTTTTATTTTTTCTACTCTGTATTTTTCCTTTTCTCTCTTCTTTTTTCTTTTTCTTGCCTCCTCTAGTAAGGCCCATCGCTCCCCACCAAGATACCCGCTCATCGCCAATATGATCCCAACTCACTCCACACTTCGTCGAAGATCCGCAGTTCGCAGCCTGTAAAGCTTCTGTAATTCGCCGTAACTTTAAACTGGTCACGACTGCCAGCGCGATTCGACGATCGTAGTCCGTCCTCTTGATTTTATTTATCTTTGTTTTCACTTTTTTATTATTATTATTATTATTATTAT